CTCACTTTGCTGTTATTTAGCTAGCAGAAGACTAATAATATCTCATGGGAAAATAATTTTCAAAGGAATGTCTTATTGGAAACATTTTCATATGAAGCAGCATCATATTATTATGTGCATAGTATTCAGTAAAAATGTGTTCAGTTACATAATGAATGACTATGGAAAAACAATGAGTGTGTAAAACTAACTCATCTGGAAATAACAAAAGATAAAGATTTAAAGTGTTTGAGACATCCTTTCATGTGAGTGTAAATGGAGTAAATCAAAGGAAAACCAAAATGAAATAGCCCTGCATGTATCATTCTTATATAGGCAAGTTGTGCATACATTTTCAATCCACTGAAGGCCCATGGAAATGTAGTCAGGAGACATTTCCACAATCCATTTAGCGGATCAACCATGATTTGTTTCTAAATGCCCACCATCCCTTCATATTCCTTTTGGTAACAACATCTCACATTTTCATTGGAGAGTTTCCGAATTTCCCTTTCAACTCTAATCCTAGAGGGACTGTCAATCAAGGGGTCAGAGCTGATGGCAAATAGCTGGGCACATGGTCCAAGTCAGGGCAATTAGCATGTTCTTTGAGATGCTTCTGGCAGAGCTATGGGGGGAGATTCTCTCTGCTATGGAAGATAAGCTGGTAGGAGATGATCAGGGTGCTGTTTGCCATGATTGTAGTTCTGCCTTGTGGAGAAAGCCAGGGGCTGAGATGGAGTCCTGATGAATGTTGCTGTTCCTGATTCTAGCTTTTTTTTTTAACTTCTTTTGACATTTTTTTAAAATCATCCGTGGTTTCTCCTGACTTCTTTTAAAATTTTATTTTTCAATTACAGTTTACACTAAATATTATTTTGTATTAGTTTCAGGCATATACACAGTATAGTGGTTAGATGATCATATACTTTATAAAGTGTTCCCCCTGATATTTCCAGTACCCACCTGGCAATATGTTTGCTCCCTTTAGCGCCATGTGTTTTAACCAAGGTCACCTCTCCGAGAAAGGTTGTTTCCCCAGGTGGGGATCTTTCCCTGAGGTTAGGGAGGGGATACAACCCCTTAATTAAGAGCCAGGCGGGTAATCAAGCTACATGGTCTTTACTCCCTGGAATGGAGATGAGAAACACCTTAACCCTTATAATAGAAATTGAACGGATTGAGATCGGCTGGTATAAATACGGATGTAATAAGACAATAAAATGTCAGATCCTCATCAGTTCCTGACCAGAACTCCTACCAGAACTTTGGCTGGAGATCCTGGCTATAGGTCCTGACTAGGCTGCTGACCAACTGAAGGCTGTCTTCGTGTCATTCCTTCTTCGCCGACTCCGTCCACACCTTTGGGGACCCCTGGACCTGCTGGGATTGGACCCCAGCATTCCCCCTGATATTTCCAGTACCCACCTGGCACCATACATTGTTATCACAATAGTATTGACTATATCTATCTCTACCTCTGGCATTTCAGCAATAAAGGCCAAAAATTTCCCATTTGTGTTCACACTAGTTTAGATAGTTTTCTGTCACCTGCAACTAAAAGTGTCCTTGCCATGTACCTTGGTTGCAGGCTCGGTCCCCTACCCCAGACCAGGTGAGTTCTGGAGGCAACCAATTGATGTGTCTCTCTCACATTCATGTTTCTCTCTCTCTCTCTCTCTCTCTCTCTCTCTCTCTCTCTCCCCCTCCACATCCACCGCCCTCCCCTCCACTCTCTCTAAAAATATCAATGGAAAAATTATTCTTGGATGAGGACTAAAATAACAATAAAAATAAAAATAATAAAATAATAATAATAATAATAAAAGTATCCTTGCAAATATAGCAGGGAACATGGAAGGCAACACAGCATATGGAATTGCTAAGAGGAGGTTTTGTAAAATTACTAATAATTTACCAGGCACAATGGGAGAATTTTTTCTTATATAAGAGCTCTGTGTGTTCCTAGTACTACAGCTTCACTATTTCTGTGCAAAAAGTATCTGGAGGAAGATGGAATTAGGACAGGAGACTAAAAAAACTAAAGCAGTTCAACTAAAGCTCTGGCCTCTGAGTGCTTCTATCTTTCTGGCATTCTGCTTGAGAAGCTCTGATCCCATACAGTGGACTTCTGCTGGTCTTTCATGTCTGGAAAATTCCCCAGCTCTCATTCCTTGTTTCTACCAAACTCTCTCTGGGATTCTACCGTGTCTTCCAACAGATGCTCTCCTATCCCCTGGTCTTTGAACAACTGTTTTCCCTGCCAACCTGGAGAGATTCATTCACTTTACAAATTTTCATTGAGCACAGGCATTGGGGAAAAACAAATCAAGGGGAAAGAAGAAATTCTTGCCTTAACAAAACTTTAATTCTTGTTGGAGGAGAGAAACTATTAACAAAAATAAGTAGCATACATTTTTTAAAATATATTTTATTGATTTTAGTAGCATACATTTTTAAATGGCGATAATTGCAAACTGTAAATGAAAGCAGGGGAGAGGTGCTGTGAGGTGTAGTTTCGTTAGGAATTAGGTGCTTTCTGAGTGTTGACCTGAAGACACGGGACAAAGACAGCGATGTGGAGATCGGAGAGAAGAGCTCTCCAGGCAGAGGGTGGGGAAGATGTAAATTCTTATTGAAAACAGAGTTGAGATTCATGCAAATGTTTCAGTGAGTTCTTCAAATGATGTAAAATGTCCTTTTCAAAAGGAAACTAAGCACCAGTGAAAATCGATGCCTTAGATTACAGTGGTTCTCAACCTTCCCAATGCCACGACCCTTTAATATAGTTCCTCACGTTGTGGTGACCCCCAACCATAAAATTATTTTCGTTGCTACTTTCAAACTGTAATTTTGCTACTGTTATGAATCATACTGTAAATATCTAGCCGAAACCGGTTTGGCTCAGTGGATAGAGCGTCGGCCTGGGAACTGAAAGGTCCCAGGTTCGATTCCGGTCAAGGGCATGTACCTGGGTTGCGGGCACATCCCCAGTAGGAGATGTGCAGGAGGCAGCTGGTCGATGTTTCTCTCTCATCGATGTTTCTACTCTCTATCTCTCTCTCCCTTCCTCTCTGTAAAAAATCAATAAAATATTTAAAAAAAATAAATATCTGATATGCAGGATGTATTTAGGCGACCCCTGTGAAAGGGTCATTCGACCCCCAAAGAGGTCGCGACCCACAGGTTGAGAACCGCTGCCTTAGAACTTGAGGTGTGAGGAAATATACAGAAACATGTGATTCTTAAAAAAAAAAAAAAGGTGATTTTGGAGAAAATACAATTTATATTCCCAAATTTTGAAATTTCTCAAGAGTTTAAGATGTATTAATCCATTTATTCAACAAATACTCATTAATCACTGTTCTAAGTATCAGACACCACCAGGAAAAAGGCAGATCAAGCAATGAGATTGCATTCTAGCAAAAAAGAAAAAAAAAAGAAAAAGAAGAAAATGCAGTAAGATAACAAAATAGCAATGAATTGTTAAATTCCTAAAATGTGCTTAAGATTGTGCTAAACACATTATAGAAATTTGCATCTTTAAAACAACTATTTACCTGTACTATGCTTTCTAACCAAGTTTCAGATTTCTTCAAAGCAGACTTTGAGACATGTAATAATGTGCATGTAGTTTATTTATCCTTAAATAATCTTGAAAGGCCTTGATTGAGTCCTGGCCTCTTTAGGTGTAACTGACGATATGACCTTGTACACATTACTTAAACTGAAGTTCATGCTCCTCTGTTATAAAATAAGGGATAATAATACCTTTTAGTGTTTGTACTATAAA